ATAAAAATATATTATTATTAAACTATTTAAATAGTTAATTGATGACATGAACGATTTTACATATTCTTATTCAGTAAAATTTAATTAATAAAAAATTATATTATAATTATAATTATATTAAATTTTAAAATAATTATTTTTAAATTAAAAAATTTTTAATATAAATTTCTTTCTCTTATCTAAAGATCTTAATTTTATAATCAATTCATTTTCAACAAAAAAATAACAACATTTAATTTTTTTTGAACAGGTTGAAATTAGTTACAGATATATTAGTTAACTATGGGAAAAAAAAATGGAACCTGTGAAACTCAAAACCATACATTTACAAAAAGTGAACACCCTAACTCAGATTCATACTATTAAGTTGGAGCAGGTTGTTTTTTAATTAAATGTGTTTTGAACTCAAATTTCCTCATAATACCTAGTCCAAACAAACAATCATTACTTTGGAGCGGGCTGTTTTTTAATTAAAGGTGTTTTGAACTAAAATTTCCTCATAATACCTAGTCCAAACAAACAATCATTACTCTACAGTACATTAACATGGTCAGAGTATAAAGCTATACATGGTGCATGTATTATTAGGCCACACATCCTTGCCAAGAAAGTCAACAACACATTAATTCCAAACTGTCCCACAACCCATCCTCTTTGAAGTTTGAACTTTGATTTTTCCCTTAAGCAATCACGGACTCAAATTGACTCATTGACAGTAGCCAAAACAAATTTTGCAAAAAGATTAGAGAGGAAAGCTCTGGTTTGGTTTGTCCTTAACCTACGAAAGCCACAAAATTGATGAAGTCCATAAACAGAGATAACATAGTTGGTTTATAACTTATAGTATTATAATTTTATAATAATTTAATATATGTAGGATCCATTTATGTAATATGAAAATTTTTTCTATTGATCTAGACATTATTTAATGACATTATAAAGAAAATTGCTGATTATATGAAATGTTTCAAGTCATCAATTTTCATTAGAAAAAATTTACATGTCGTGTGAATAGGGCTCACGTGACTGAACCAAGAAGCCCTTAATGCCTGTGCAATGGGTTTCACAAAATTATGTTGTGCGATGATCTTATTTGCCAAATTTAAGTTACTTTATTCTAATTTAAAAATACGTGAAGTAATTTATTTTAATATAAAAATGTGTGAGTAGATAAATTAAAAAAAAAAATATAGTTCATTTTAATAAGCATAAAAAATATTGATGAGAAGCATTTTATATGTTTTAATTTATTATTTTAGTTTTGACTTTATTACTAGTTGCTGCAAGGACAATATGTAATTTTTAATAGTTTTTACATAATTTTTATTTTTTAGATAA